CATAGTATATGTATATGTATATGTATATGTATATGTATATGTATATGTATATGTATATGTATATGTATATGTATATGTATATGTATATGTATATGTATATGTATGTGTACATGTATATGTATATTGTTGGCGTTGTTGGTTGCGCCGACTGAATTGCCGTACAGGGAGCGTTAATCCCTCATTTCACCGTGCATGCACGCGTGTATCGTGTAATCGTAAAATTACATTCCGTTGCGCGACAAAGTTTTCGAAAGCGAAATTGTTATCGACATTTGGACTGTCGGGCTTAGGGACACGGTTAAGGTAAATTAATCGAGACCAACAACACATCGCGACGAGAAACAACAGTTAATGAATAACATTTCGTCGAAACGAAATTGCGAATAATGTCTGTTGGAAATTCAAAGGTATAGTAGTGACTATTTGGTGTAAGGGTAACTGTGAAAAGATATAAATATTTTGTTTGTTGAGATCCATCGTTTCCATAATTATTGATAGCTATTTCAAATCATTCAAATCATTTATTTCAAATCGTTTATTACAATTACATTCGAACATTTCAAATCATTTTATAAAGAATGAAGTTTTAGTTCAAGTTAACAAGATAGTATTTTTATTTTGACTTATTTTTTAGAATTTAAAATCTACCCTATCAGGTTGTATTAGGCTTTTCGGTTTGCAATTACAGATTTATCTTCTGGTGTGTGCTATTGAATATCAAACGGACGAACGCGCGATGAAACATAGACACGCACAATCAGGTGTGAGAATACGAAGCAAATATACATCTACAAACATCGTATAGTTCACAAGTACTACTTCCAATATGCTTCCGTGGACTTCAATGATTTTTTCCTACTGTTTGTCCTTTTGACTTTTACATATTTGTATTACAAATATTAGTACGGTTCAGTTGCAGATACGTCAGATACATATATTGGTATCCTGTGCCTCATCTTTAGAATGACATAAAAAACGTAAGAATCTTTTTTGTGTTTGTATACTGCACGTACTGTATAGGACAAAATTACAACTTGATCGTAATAATTCTTTGAAGACAAATATCTTTAGTATTTTCTGCATTATTAACGAAGGGTATAGATTTTATTAAGATTAGTAATATTTAAGGAAATAATATTTAAGAAAATCCATACTCTTTATTAACTAAAACTTCGTTAATAATTTTCAAAGAATTATTACGCTTAACTGGTTATAGTTTTTTCAGGTATTTTATTTAAAATTGAATAAACTGAGTAATGACGATCTTGAAAGGCGAACTATTATTACTCGAATAGTATTAGGTCAGTGCATACGGAATGAAAATTATTAGTAATGGTTTTATAGAATAAAATTTTTTCATTTGAGACTTCATTTTCTAGAAAAACGATTTTAAAAATCTGCTGGATATGCGTGCAATTGAATAATACTTGGCTAGTGCGTCTGTTCATTGCCCTCAGTTTCTACTTAATTTTATGGCAAATTGTACATGCGTTTCAGATTAATTTTTAAAGTCGAATTTCTCGAAACTGAAAGCTCAAATGAAAAAATTTTATTTTCTATTTTAGACTGATTTTTTTATATAGTATCATCTCCTACTTGGTTGCACCACCAGTTACACGACATCCTGTATAATATATGTATTTCAAAAGCATAAAAATCGTTCTCAAAATACACATCATTGCATCCAGTGTGAGAAAATTAATGACATTTTGAAGTGTCTATAACTCAGAAGACAAACTTTATAAACACAAGCTTTTAAATAAAAATATAATCCCGTGCAGTTAAATATATTAAAAATTTAATGAAGTATTAGTCAGAAGTACTTATAGTAGTTAGAACTACAAACAACTGTTATTAGAAAAAAAATGTGTCTAATGCAAGGGAACTATTGATCTTGTACCCAATGCCTCAATTGGTATAAACTTCAGAATTTACGTGTTTAAAAATGTATAATTTAATCTTTTCAAAAAATTGATTCATCCGAACAGAACTAAAAAATTCAATACGTTTCACGTAACCGATTTTTACAACTGCACCGAAACTATTCTTTATGTTTTCACAGGCTTGCCAAGATTTGCAGGTGAAGCGCGTTCAGTCGTAAAGTATAAACGTGAAAGGGGATACAGAAACAATGTTTTTTTTTCGTGCTAGAGACCAGAACAACAAGAATAAATCAGATTTTCACAAAAGCTTGTTCAGTTCAAGTCCAAGTTATGATGCCACGTTTCACGCTACGGTCAGTTTAATGGATCCATTAATGTATACGCTTTAATATTACTTACAATTAGATAAACAAGGATTTTTAAATGGACAGACGCCAAGCGTGATAGTATGGTTAAATATTTGGGATTTATGGCTGTGAAGTGTTATAATGGGACTCTGGATTTTATCCAGTCATAATATCTACAGAATGTGGAAAGTACGATAAAATTTAATGAAGATTAAAGAAGTTTTTATTTTATGTTTGCTCTAGGAAAACTTACAATGGAAAAATGATAGGAAATGAGAGTAAATGTTTGGGTTTTGTTTTGACAAGCAAACGAATTATTTACTGATATTGGGGAAACTAATCAGATATGAAAGAAAGAATAAAAAAACTTCTGCTAGCAGAATATTCTAAATATAACTTGTGGTAGAAAGGATTTAATTAAACAAAAGAATAACGATCATTGCAGAAATGATATAAATGCACATTAAAGACAGAAAATATTACTTTCTACTCATGAAAGAAATAGAATGGTTGAATTGTTTGTAATTTAAAAAGATAGAATAAACAATTAGTCTAGGGTTTATTAATATATATTTTAAGATTTGAACAAAATTTTTTTTATGCTATTTTGTTTAATATATATATTGTAGAAACCAGCAATTACTGCGATGCTAAAAAACGGATATCCAAATGGTGTACATAAAATTTCGAGATCCACTTATCTGAAATCAAAAAACCAAAGTTTTTCTTAAAACTCATAGGGATGGTTATTGTATCAAGCACTTTTATTGAAAATTGTCTGATTGGTACCTGTGTTTGTGAAAGTGTTTCGATAAATAAAAAATGTATCGATTAACCAAAAATTTCTGAATCTGTTTGATACGATAACCGTTCTTTTAAGTTTTAAGAAAAACTTTGGTTTTTCGATTTCAGTTGAGTGGATCTGAAGATTTTATCTACACCGTATGAGCATCCGTTTATTTTTAACGCCAGAGTAATTGCTGGTTTCTGCAGTATACATATATTAAACAAAATAACATACAAAAATTTTTATTGATATCTTAAAATGTATATTAATAAATCCTAGACTGATTGTTACTGTGTGTTACAGTTTTCTTTTACGAAAATTCTAAAAAAAGCCCTTTTTCTTGCAGCGTTTACATGAAAATATACTCTCAAGGGTAGGTCAAACAGAGTTTATGTAACAAGCAAAATATTGATCCAAACAAGGAATCTCCATTGCGTTGGTACAATTGATTGGAAATTCTTGAAATCAATAAAACAGAATAGTTCGTATGTGTATAGAGTACGATCGCACGCTATTAGTTATCGAATCACTGTGTAAAAGGCGAAATATGTTACTCAATGCATACGAAACACGTTGCCGGGGCGAACGTGTGTTGCATTTGGCAAGGAATGCGAATATCGAGGTTATATTTACGAATCGCCCTTCCTAACTCGGTAACCAGGTTTTCACGAAGGCTGAAAAGCTCGTAAGTGCTGGGATGCAGAATTATATACGTGTATTCGCGAGCACAGCGATTCAATTTCGGTTCGAAACCCTGAGAGAAACAACAGCGAGATAAAATGACGATCGCCAGCGCGAAGGTGAACAAGGAAGGGCGGTGAAGACACGGTTTTTTAATTAAATAATCTGTCCGGCGGAGAACTTTTATTTCTGGCGAAATAAGTCAACGGAACCGACTTATCGGTTTACGTGGACGTTTAATTTCAAGCAAAACGTTTACACTATGCAAAGCGGAAAAGGGACACGAAGAGGACCGCGACAGGGTAAAGTGTCATTTCACGTACAACGCGGAGAGAGCTTAATAAACCTGTTCCGCGTGAACAGTGTTGTTCTCGTTTCACGTTGCTCCCTTAGAGTAGCTATTTCTTTTCCTTTTCTGCTGAGCTTATAATCGTCAAGGGATAATGCACCGTTTACTGCACCTTGTTAACGTAATTTTCGTGACCTGAAAAATCGTTAATAAATAATAGTCGCAAATCTAACTGCGAGTGAAAATATTTCTGGCGATCGTTGTTGTTCGAAAAACGTGCAATATAAAGTTTAATGAATACGTATTCCTTTGTGGTTGCAGTTCCAATTTGTTATCATGATAGGCCATACATGTCAAACTCTGTTACCTTCCTGTGAACCGAATCGGAAACCAGTGGCTTATATCTACATGTCTCAGATCCTCACCATATTCTACATGTTCTGCGACTATTACAAGAAATCGTATCTCAGAAAAAAGACCGAGTAACTGGTTCGATGATCCACGAGTACCAAGGTGAGCATACAGATTATTTGACTGACTATTTGAAGGTGAAAATTTAACATACTATAACAGAAGAAAAATATCCTAACTTGTTTTATTCATCGATAAGTTTTTCGGTAATTATTTACAAAGAGGCACATCCCACTAATTTCGATGATCTTGAAATATATTGTCAAGGTTATCATTCTTAACAACTTTTCCCTATCCAATGATACTGTCGCTCGGCCTTAGTTTCCCAGTTATATGCAAAAATATGTCTGAAATTTTTTGCTTTGATTTTAGATGTTGGATTAGGTTTAACCCTTTCAGACCTGAATTTTCTGCTAAGAGTAACGAAAATATTTGATTATACATTTTGTTTGAACTTATACGTGGCCTAACGAATGTTTCCGGCTCGTCGTGCGAAGGACGTGTCTGTTTTTGTTGTGGCGAGAGGGGGACGTCCGCCTTCCACCTGTCGCCGTGACCATAAAAATCGATCGAAAAACAATGTCTTTAGCGTCAAGTTCATTTCGATCACGCTAAATCAAATTTGCTTTGTTCTCTTCGATCGCGATCAACCCGTGAGCCGTTAGAGCCGTTTCTTGCCCGTCGTTCTCAACCACCGAGAGTCGTCCCGCGAAAACCCGTCGTTTTCCGCGCTCTCGCGAATCGTTACGGCGAGCTGGGAATGTCTGTGTGTCTTTCCAAATCCTTTCCAATCTATCCTCCCACTCAAGTGGAACTGCGATGATGAAAGCCAATCTTTACTGAGTGATCTCCTCCGGAACTGAGGAGCCCTTGAAATTCCTCAGTAATGTCGTCTGCGCCTTTGTCAGTTTCCTATCTCTAGTTGTATCCGTAAGACGCCGAATTTACGATCCGCGCGTACGCATTCAAAACGTGCCTCAAAGTTCTCATTGCGCGTCTCCCTAGGGACGGTCCCGGCACCCGGTTCGGTATGTGGCGAATTATTCCGGTATCGAAACAAACACATTTTAATTAAGTAGACTGTTTAGATGATATCTTGTTAAAACTATTTTTTTTAACTTTTTAAAGAAAGGTTTATTATCCAATGTTGAATTCACTAGACCTACTAAAACCATTCAGAACATGAAAATATTCAAATTTACAAGAAGAATATGGCTCTGCAATATAATGTACCTAAGGCTTTGTGTGAAATTATAAGAAACCTTATTTACACAAATGAGACTACCAGGTCTGAAAGGGATAAAATAAAAAGTTACTACACTTTATATTAAACATTATTCTGAATTATTATTAATAGAAATTGGAAAAATTTCAGCCATTATATAAAAAAATGCAAGTATTCTTATATTGAAATCCTATTGTCGTCAAAAGAAAAATTCGGTTAACTAACCAGCATAATGTCTTTTCCGGGTTCCGTATCGTGGAATACTAGTTCTCGTTTCACGCCAAACACGTTCGATATTATGGGTATGTGCTTCACTATTTGGATCGTTGAAATTGATTTTATTGTTCACTGCTAAATGTTTATATCCTTTATCATTTGGGCAATTATATGATATCCAATAATAGGATATAATTATAGAACCAGATTTAATCCACTTTTGAATTTACACGTAGTAAAGTTTTAAGTGACATACCCGGAACTGGCTCAAAAAATAATACTGTATAAGTCTCAATATTTATTTTTTTTCATGAACTGTCTCTAATTAACTCTGAAGCAGTATGCTGATCGGAGTGGGCTAGAGACAGTTCAAGAAAAAAAGTAATTCAGAGGTGATTATAGATAGTTCAGGGAAAAGTTATTTAGAGATGGTCAGAGATGGTTTAAGAAAAAAAGTAATTACAGAAACTCATACAGAGTTATTTATTGAGCCAGTTCGAGATATGTCATTTAAACTTAAATAACAAAAAATGAAAACTTTTTTCCATTTAAAAAATATGAAGAGGTCTCCTTTATCCCCCTAGTAGTTGTCGAAAAAAACTTTGTTACATTCTTTAACTAATTAACTAATTAATTGTTACATCGTTTAACGAGCAGCCTCCTTTTCCGTTTAATTTAAAAGTAAAATGAAATCCTTCTCTGCAGGAGTATCTGAGAAAACGGCTTCTAACACTTTATTTGGCCTACCTAGTATAGTTTTAGATATAATATATTGTTGTAAGCTGATCCAGAATTTATATATTTTATATAATTGGAACGCAGTTAGTTGTCAAGCATTTTTTAATTATTCTAAATTGCAGAATATTGAACATAAGTCGTACCTTCTATTGTAATACTTTTAAGTTTATAATCATTTTATAAGATTTCACTCTGTGGAAGCTATGTGTTTGGACCATAATTTTATTACTCAGAATGTCGTACTTTTTTAAAGATTTGTATTTTTATTTTTTCCTATTTAGTTAACACTATGATTTGGGAAGAAGCGAAACACCAATTATAATACAGTGAAAGAATGCTCCGAATTCATAAAGTTCGTAAATTCTGGACCACCTTTTAAATTCCTTTTATAACAGAAACTACTACAAATTGAATTCTATAGTTGTAAACTCCTGTTAAATTTAAGTAACAATATGTATTGCGATGTCAAGTTCGGTTTACTAAAATCAGAAACCAAAGCTTTAACACTAAATTTGAAACACTGATGATAGAAGTCAATTTTTAGTTAAAAAATAATACCTTTTGCAGCAACAATATAATTGAGTAAGAATCATAGGATTATCGTTTATGTTGAATCATCGCTTCTGTTATGTACTTGTACGCACATATGTAATTCGTATTTGCAATTTATACACACAAATTAAAATTGTTATTTGATTAAAAATTTCTTTTTCCTTTCTTTCATATTTTTAATACTTCGAACTGCAATATCGCTCCACTAGATCAAGTAAATCTTTAATATTAGTAATTTATGTATTCGTTCCATACGTTTTTATTTCATCCACCATTCGACTACCATTTAATCCATCTCTACTCCATATTTTCGGACTTAATAAACCGGCAGAATTATAAATACACAGAAACAATATTCCAGTTACCGGTCCACTGAATTTCACTCGAAAATCACCGACTATAACTTTATTAATTCTGTGCAGTGTGGAAGTTTTACAATTAGTCGATTACCGTAAACGCGTCCACTACCCAGTTTAATTTAATTGCACAATTCACGCCGATTAATCCTGGTGTATTTATTAACGAAACTCGCGGGAACGGTTACTGATGATTAATTTTATTCAACTAACCCACCTTTTGTCGACAGGTCGTTCCAGAAAGAATAGCGACGGGCCGCACAAAGGCCAGAAAAATCGTAGATTCCAGGTTTTGTCGCCCGACTCTTCATTAGCTCTTCTTCCCCGTGAAAGCCAGCATGCGTGTCCGCGTAGCAATAATTCCTGTGGAAAAAAAGGATCGAAAATGGAAAAATGATCGCAACGGTGGGACACGACGATACGTTTTCCGATGGCGTCGCGTGTGTGTCGATGAAATGCACTATACATATACAACGATATCCATCGTGTACCAAGGAAACAGTTCCGACGCGAGACAGATCACGATAAGGGGATAAAATTTGTGTATCCGAGTCAGCTTGCATTTTGTTCACCGGAATGCTTTTAGTCGAACACATTTTTGTTTCTTTTGTGTCTTCGCATCTCGCGGGTCTGCGGATCGAATGGTATTACATTTTGTTTTCCGTATAACAGCGACAGTGGTGGTGTAGCGAGGCGAAACTTCCGCCACGACTGGGATTTTCGTAACATTTAACAGATTTATTTTATTTTGACGTCAAAATTTCGCACTGTGAATCTCCGAATTGACTTCTTTTTGTATTCGAAGCTCTGGGTTGTTGGATAAGTTTTTCATGATTTTAGATTTTACTTCTCAGATTAAAGACATTTAAAGGAAATTAGTTATATTTAGTGTGGTACATTTTAACACATTGATTATTGACTTTGTTGCAATTGCTTTTTTGATGTTACTAAATGTCACGAGAGCGGGCGATATTATTCCACTTAATATACGAAACAGAATCAAATTTGCACAGATACTGTACACAGATACAGTGATTCCTCGATGAATGCGACACGAACAACGGCGTTATTCTCACCACTTAGAGGGGGAGGGGGGGAGGCTCTTTGGAACCAATCAAAACAGAGTAAACAGAAGCTAAGCAGAGGCTCGGCTTCGTGCAAAAACAAATTTATGCTGGGCTGAAAACCATTCCGTTTTGTCACGAATGCTCCGAAGCGGAGTCTAATTTGTCGCACTCATAGAGACATTGCTGTATTCTTCTCGAATGTCCTTTGAACAGCTGCGTATTCTTATATTAAGTAGGGTAAATGTCTCAACTACTGCCACTTTATTTATTTTACTTAATAAAATCGTAACGTATAAAGAATTGTGTGTAAACAATTTTATTATTAACTTGGGACTCTGATTCACATAAAAACAAAGAAATACATATGCTTGTATGTATCTGGTGCTTAAAAATTAATGTTGAAAATTGAAAGTGTAATTCGAGTGTCAAAAACGCGACCACGTACATGGGAAATGGTGGCGAAATCATACTAAAGAAATAGCTGGAATTTTACTATTCAGGCTATAAGTATTCGTTGTACCAAATGAGTTGTTAAAGTATATAAGCACTACTTTAATTTTGGTTAATTAATTGTTACTTAATTCTTCCTAATTATTGTATAAAACTGCTTTTTTCTGAAAGAGATATCAAATAATATTATGTTCTAATTGTGAGACGATTGTTAGGTTAAAAAACACGTACATAATATGATCAAGTGAAGTTACGCTAGAACCTGAAGGTGGCGGTAATTGGGACATCTACCCTAATTTATTTTTCATAGAAAAGATCACATCATCCAGTGGATTGTCTTAGAGCGCTAGTTTCAATGTATACAATTTTAAGTGCAACATGGATGTAAAAATTTTTTCTTTGCAGTTAGTATTGTTTTCTACCGTTAGAAGATTATGCCATATATTAGGTAGCTGAAATTTATAGAGCATT